GTTTCATTATATTGTTTGGCTCTGTCTTCTCCAGCTGCCTTCGGGCTTCATCCTTCTTTCCATTGATTTTAGCTACTGTAAGATTGAGAGCAAGGTTCAGAATTTCATCTGACATCCACTTTGATCCTTCCTCTCTTTCCTGTCTTTCAGTGACCACTTCCTTTCTTCATGACGGATGGTTTTAATGCTCCCACGCCCCCTCTCCTGCTCTCGTGTTTTTGTCATTAATGTTTAGTACATCAAATCTCTTTGAGAGGTTTTTAAAATTCAGGTGGGAGAGCCTTGAGTTCCTTTTTTGGCCTTCTTGGACTTGTTTTAATTTTCTACAGGTTTTAGGCAAAAGGTATCAGAGGAAGGCTCTAGGAAGCAAAGTTATGGATAGAGGCATAAGTCTAGGTATTTACATATGTAAATACATAAATCCATCAAAATCATGGATTGACCTAAGTTCATATATTTGTATGGCAATACACTGAGGTTGTGGATGGACCTTGGGCCATTGCTCATATCCTCCCCTCGATACAGAAACACTTTGTTCTAACAAACTGGCATTTGGGGTTGTTCATTCCCTATTTCCTCCCACCCCCCCACCCCCAAGATAAAAAGATCACTGAAGAATAAATGGGCACATAAGCAAATGTGGTGAAGAAAGCGGATGGTGCCCGCTATTAAAAGATATAGCATCTGGGATCTTAAAGGCTTGACGTTAAACAAGCAGCCATCCAGCAATGAAGCAACCACATGGAAGAAGCACAGCAGCTGGTGTGATTATGAGGTGTCATTGGGACCTGGTAACAGGCATCAGAGATCCCTAACAAACAAACAAAAACATGTTGAGCACGAGGGGGTTCGAGCAGAGACCCAAAGCTCATCTGTAGACAATGGAACATCCCCCACAGAGGGGTCACAGGAAGGGACGAGTTAACCATGCGTTCCATTTCATTTGTGACCCTTTTCAAGTTTCCTGGATGCATCCTTTGTCCATTCTACTTGTGATCATTAGCAAATTTTTACAGCTGTTTCTTCTTTGAGTTGTGCCCCTGAGCAGATGAAGATCCCAAAGTGTCCTCTCCTACAGGAACTAATGGCTACATCTTTCATGCAGAAACCTGAAGATTTAAGATTGTACCCAAAAAGCACAATGGCCATGTCCAGAAAGGTAGAGCTAGTCGCTTTCCAACCCAGACACAGCCTCACGCCCTGCAGATCGGGACTCCTCCCCTTTCCCTGCGCCCCTCCCCTGGCCCCGCCTCCCGGGCACGCCCATCACCTGCAGACACGCCCCCTGTTCGGTGACGCAACTTCAGGCTCACCTTCCTTCTGAGCTGGGAGTC